AAGATGAATTGATTCCTACTAGAACCATAACTGGTCACCGAATGTGTATAGATTATAGGAAGCTCAATTCAGCTACTAGAAAGGATCATTTTCCTCTTCCCTTTATTGATCAGATGCTTGAGAGATTAGCTAATCACCCATATTACTGCTTTCTTGATGGTTATAGTGGTTTCTTTCAAATACCAATCCATCCTATCGATCAAGAGAAGACGACTTTTACATGCCCTTATGGTATCTTCGCATATTGAAGGATGCCATTTGGGTTATGTAATGCACCAGCGACCTTTCAAATGTGCAAGATGTCTATCTTCTCTGATCTTATAGAAGAAATGGTGGAAGTGTTTATGGATGATTTCTCTGTATATGGTGCGTCCTTTTCTGCTTGTTTGTTGAATCTTTGCAAGGTACTTAAGCGATATGAGGAGACAAACTTGGTGCTGAACTGGGAGAAGTGTCACTTCATGGTGAAGGAAGGGATTGTACTCGGTCACAAGATATCTGAGCAAGGGATAGAGGTTGACAAAGCAAAGATTGAAGTCATGATGAGTCTTGAGACACCGGTTAATATCAAAGGGATCAGGAGTTTCTTAGGGCACGCTGACTTCTACAGGCAGTTTATCAAGGATTTCTCCAAGATAGCTCGCCCTCTTACACGGCTGTTGTGCAAAGAAGCTGAGTTCGTGTTTGATGAGGAGTGTATTCACGCTTTCAAGACCATCAAGGAGGCTCTTGTCACGGCACCTATAGTACAAGCACCAGATTGGAGCTTACCCTTCGAGCTCATGTGCGACGCGAGTGACTACGCCGTGGGAGCTGTTCTTGGGCAGAGGAAAGACAAGAGGTTGCATGTTATCTACTATGCCAGTCGTACCTTGGATGACACGCAAGTGAAATATACTACAACCGAGAAGGAGCTGCTGGCCGTGGTGTTTGCTTTTGAGAAGTTCAGATCATATTTGGTGGGCTCTAAGGTTGTTGTATACACTGATCACGCGGCGTTGAGGCACATCTACTCAAAGAAAGATACCAAGCCGAGGCTCTTAAGGTGGACTCTTCTTCTACAAGAGTTCGATATGGAGATAAAAGACAAGAAGGGGATAGAGAATGGTGTTGCTGATCACCTTTCTAGGATGAGAGTGAATGAAGCCTTACCCTTGGATGATTCGCTTCCTGAAGAGCAACTCATGATGATTAACACGGTTGTATGCACGCGGCTAGAGGATCAGTTTGAAGATGTTTTGGCTTTGAGAGAAGAGAACCTGCCTTGGTATGCTGATATAGTGAACTTCTTAGCTTATGGAGAGGAACCTACTCATCTTGACCACTACCCCAAGAAGAAGTTCATGAGAGACATCTCTCATTATTTTTGGGACGAGCCTTACTTGTACAAGAGGGGAGTAGATAGCTTGTATAGAAGATGTGTTTCAAGAGAGGAAGCACAGGACATCCTTCTACACTGCCACGGTTCATCCTATGGAGGACATTTCGCATCTTTCAAGACGGCAACAAAGGTCTTACAAGCCGGGTTTTGGTGGCCATCGCTATTCAAGGATGCTCATGAGTTTGTTAAGTCTTGTGAAGCTTGTCAAAGGGCAGGGAACATCACAAAGAGGAACGAGATGCCTCAGATGCCAATCTTTAAAGTTGATGTTTTTGACGCTTGGGGGATAGACTTCATGGGACCGTTCCCATCTTCTTACGGCAACAAATTCATCTTAGTGGCTGTTGATTACGTGTCTAAGTGGGTTGAGGCTATAGCTTCCCCAACCAATGATGCAAAGGTGGTGGTTAAACTCTTTAAGACCATCATCTTCCGACGGTTTGGAGTATCAGCGACGGGGGCAGCCACTTTATCAACAAGGTGTTTGAAAGTCTCTTGAAGAAGTATGGAGTGAAGCACAAGGTAGCAACACCTTATCACCCACAAACTAGTGGGCAAGTAGAGGTCTCGAATAGACAGGTCAAAGCTATCTTAGAGAGGACAGTAGGAGCAACTCGGAAGGATTGGCTGTTAAACTAGAAGGATCTCAAGACTCTTCTATACGGAAAGGCATGTCATCTTCCTGTTGAGGTGGAGCATAGAGCACTGTAGGCTGTGAAGCAGATGAACTTCAGTCTCAAGACGGCGCAGGAGAAGCGGTTGATTCAACTACATGAGCTTAATGAGCTACGGTTAGATGCCTATGAGAGTGCTAAGATGTACAAGGAAAGGACCAAGGCGGTTCATGACAAGAAGCTAGTTCATAAGGAGTTAAAGGAAGGCAGTCTGGTGCTACTCTACAACTCGAGGTTGAAGCTGTTCTCGGGCAAGCTCAAATCAAGGTGGTGTGGACCGTTTGAGATCAAGGAAGTTCTGCCCTATGGAGCGGTTACGGCAATCAGATTTTTGTATCCTTTGGTTGTGTTTGGATCTTACCTTCTATGTTGCGTCAACGGTGGTTCTTATATAATAGATCTGGGTTTGTCTCCGGCTGAGGTAGTTTGGGAGTTCACCATTCTTCCTCTTCAACTAGGCTAATGTCGTGATTGCGCCATTTTTCCTCTTCAACTAGGCGAATCGATATTGTGGGAAATGATTGGCTTGGTGGTTTGAGTTGGCAAATAACTCTATTTTTTGTCTTCGTCGTTGTTCGCCATTAAGAAACAAAATCGTCGAAGAAAGAGTCATCAGAGAAAGAGTTGCCGGAGAAGTCGATTTACATTAAATTAGTTTCTTAGGACAAAGCATACACACACAATCTCTAAACATTGAAGCATCCTGAATGAATCTAGCGTGAGCTCTGAATACTTGAACTGGTGCAAATCAAACAGCAAGATTGCAAATTTTAGACGGTAAGAATATTAAATATGCATTCATACTAAACATGGACAAGTAAAACATTATCTCATTGTAGTGATAACTGCTCAAGATTGTATCTGTCAACCTTAAAGACCTACTTGCACGCTATGTACCAGCATCCAGAGTAGGATCCATAACAAGAGTGCATCTTATAGGCCTTATGTTCATAAAAGCACTGTCAGATTTCAGAAATCTAACTATTTCCTGCGCCACCACCTTCCATTATTTAAAATCAGTTTCTTGAAAACATGACAAGCTGTTTGTATAGCAGACAATAGAAAACAGAGATAAAAAAAATGGAAAAAAAAGATATTTTCATAGTCGAGATACATTTTAGTTCACCATATACATCAAGAAACGTGAAAGAGTACGTCAAACAGAGCTAACCTCATATATGCCTTAGAATACCTCTATGATACGATGTCACTTCGTGTACATTTGATTATATGATACAAGGGTTTTTAGCCTCTTATGTCAATCACCCATTGTACTAGTCATTGTAGTATTGGGGTTTTAATGTCAATCCAAATGGGTTTTTAATGAGGACAGAAGAGTTGAGAGTAAAAATCTCTAAGTCAAGCAAGCAGAAAAGGGGTTTTGTTGCCAAAGCAACCAATCAAATATCCTAATATGATCAAGCAGCTAAGAGAGTAAAGATAAAAGCAAACTAGGCAAAACTAAGCAAGCAAAAAAGAGCAAAACAGAGTAAATTCGAAATTCAAATAAGAGAAAGGCAAGTTCCTAGATGTGGTTATTGACTTTGGGGAATTCAGACACTAACTAAGGCTGTTTCAAACTACATTGATCAAGCAAATAAGCAAGCAATGGTGATTCCTAGACATAGAGTTCACAATCAAGCAAGCTAGATCTAACCTCTTGGCAAATAGCCCTTTGCTAAACATCTTAACAAGAACTAACTCTCATTAGTACTAAAACATCAAGCAAGCATTAGATAACAACTCTATTCAAGTCAAAATGCTCCTCAAACAGTCAATCTCTTGAGCCAAGGCCAGAAAATCCTCTATTAAACAAGATCAGCATTTCATCAAACACTTGGTGGGCATAAGAGAAAGCTAACAACCCTAGATAAGCGTGATCAAGATAAATCTAGCTTAAGAATAGATTATTGAAGAGGAACCCATAAATTGAAGCACTAAACAAGCTTTAATCAAGTTCTAAAATCCTCTAATCTACCACATCTAGAAACTCTAAGCAAACTACTCACTCAAAGCCATGTTTAACACCAAATCACAAAGGAAAAGGATTTTAATCATGATTATAAGAGAGAATAAAAAAAGATTAAAGGCAAATACTTAATTATATTAAACAAAGCAAAAGATTTGTCTTACAAACTCTAAGAAAATGCTTAAGAACAGTAAATTTACAAGACTTCTCGAAATCTGGAAAAAGGGGCTATTTATAGCCTAGAGAAGGAAGCCCTAGAGTAACGGTAAAAATGTAAATAAAACATGTTCGGACTGGGTTTACATCGGTCAGTTACAACAAACATCTGTGACCGATGTGAATCACATCGGTCCGGCAATGATCGATGCTGGTGACCAAAATTCATTCGCTGTGTTTATGTCGGTCACTCCTGACCGATGCTGGTGATCGATGTGCTTCGTATCGGTCACCCTATGATCGATGCTGGTGACCGAAAATCTGGTATCGGTCACCCCTTGACCGATGTTCACCGGCTCTGACCGAAAACCTTTGCAGAGATTGTCTGCGTTGATCCTTCTTGCTCCCTTTGATCCAGCTAGCATCCTGAATCATCCCCAAAGCTCTTCCAAGCTCCTCTTAGCTCCAAAATCAACTAAAAACATCCAAAATGCAAGAAAAATGCAAACTATACCCTAAATGCAACCTAAGTCTAAAAAGAGAAGAAAATGGAGCAAAAACTAAGGGAAATCATGCAAAAGAGAACCAAAACATATACTAAATGCAGTCCTAAATGGTGTAAATATAAGGTATATCATTATACTTCTATTCAATTTAATAGTACACTACGCAATACGACAATCAAATTTTTGTATCTTTTGGTTGTGTTTGGATCTTACCTTCTATATTACGTCAACGGTGGTTTTTCTATAGTAGATCTGAGTTTGTCTCCGGCTGAGGTAGTTTGGGAGTTCACCATTCTTCTTTTTCAACTAGGCTAATGTCGCGATTGCGCCATTCTTCCTCTTCAACTAGGCGAATCGATAATGTGGAAAATGATTGGCTCGGTGGTTCGAATCGGCAAATAATTCTGTTTTTCGTCCTCGTCGATTTAGATTAAATTAGTTTCTTAGGATAGTTTAGTCTTTTCAAATGATCAAAGTCCACTACTGTTCCAAAATGCTTTTAAGTGTAATTAGAAAGTTATGAAGTATCTTCTAGTGTAATAAACTCATGACTTAGTTAACTAAAAAAGAAAAAAAAATTGAAAATTACAAATGGTGCTCACTCCATTTGAATGCGTCCACCTACAAGGCTACAAATCAAAGCAACCACTCTTCTTCTTCTTCTTCTTCTTCTCTGTCGAGGTTTCTCCTTCCGCTCCGAAATCATTTCTTTCTTCATCATCTTCTACGTTTCCCTCTCTTTCTTCTTCTCGATTTCCCAAACACCAAACCTGACAGGCCCATCTTCTCCGAAACCCTCTTCCTACGTCGCTCCCCTTCGTGGGGATGCCGAATCTTCTTCACCTGCCTCCTCCGATCCTTCTCCTGATTCCATGATTTCTTCTAGAGATCCAAACTCTCTCTTCAGCGGCGGCGGAATTAGGTTTTCAAATGAAATCTTCGCTATACCCAATTCGTCAATTTTGATTCTCAATTGGGTATTTAAAATGTTCGATTTTGTAGCTTTCTAGCGGGAAATCAGCATGTGAAGTTTACTTATGGGTACTCTAGTCTCAAAGGTAAACGAGCAACAATGGAGGATTGCTTCGAAACTCGGATATCTGATGTTGATGGACAAATGGTTGCTTTCTTCGGTGTCTTCGATGGTATGCTTAAACCATCTTTGTAACACATTTCTCTCTCTCTTTCTCTCTGTATAATTTGATTGTTTCTGATGCATTATTTTGATTCAGGTCACGGTGGTGCAAGAACTGCAGAATATCTTAAAAACAATCTTTTCAAGAGTTTAGTAACTCATGATGAGTTTATCTCAGACACGAAGAAAGCTATAGGTACGAATGAGAAGAAAAAAAACAAAATTTTGAGTCTTTATGAGTACTTGCTTGGTTGTTTCTGTTTTCACCGAGACAATCTTGTTTGTGTGTTTGAGTCTTAAAACAATCTTTTCAAGAACTTAGTAAGTCATGATGAGTTTATCTCAGACACTTAGAAAGATACTGGTATGAATTAGGAAAAAAGTTTGAGTCATTTTTAGTACTTGTTTCTTTGTTTCACTTTTCACTGAGACAATCTTGTTTGTTTGTTTGAGTTTGAAAACAATCTTTTCAAGAATTTAGTTACTTATGCTTAGTTTATCTCAGACACAAAGGAAGCTATTGGTATGAATGAGTCTTTTTAGTACTTGTTAGTTTGTGTATGTTTTCACTGTGACTTTGGCTTTTGATTTTTCACAGTGGAAGTGTTTAAGCATACGGATGAGGAGTATCTTATTGAAGAGAGAGGGCAGCCTAAGAACGCTGGCTCTACCGCATCAACTGCATTGCTTATAGGTGATAAGTTGATTGTTGCTAATGTCGGTGATTCAAGAGTTGTAGCGTCTAGAAATGGTTCAGGTTTTGGTCTCTGTTTCTCTGCAACCACTAAACTGGTTTACCTTCTTAAGCTTGTTTTTGCGTGTGTATGTGACGATGCTCCTTTGCTTGTGTAATGTAGCTGGTCCACTCTCTAATGATCATAAACCTGATAGACCCGATGAGCGTCAAAGAATTGAAGATGCTGGTGGCTTCATAATCTGGGCTGGTAAAGTTTCTCCATTCCCTCTTAACAGTGTTTCTTCTTATTAGACACATTTTTTTGTACTTGTCATGGAATTTAGAAAAATGTGATGATACTACATTGTTTTGAAGCAATTGTGGTTTGTGCAGTTTGGTTATCAATTCTTTCCCCGGAATACAATAAAAACATGGCGAGTGTTTATGCTTATTAGACACAATTTTGGTGCTAGAAATGGAATTTGGAGAAATGTGATGATACTACATTGTTTTGAAGTAGTTTTGTGGTTTAGGCCGTTTAGTTATTGTTTCGTTCCTTCAAATACATCAGGAACATGGCGAGTTGGTGGAATACTTGCGGTATCTCGGGCATTTGGGGATAAGCAACTTAAGCCATATGTGATTGCGGAACCAGAGATCCAGGTACTTAGATTGGTTTACTCTCTTGTTGCAAACTTGCCATGTGATAGGTCCTAGTTATAAGACAATCAAGTGTTGATCAAAATAATTAAAGTAAGAACAAGATTGCCCTAGTTAGTATAAGGATCTTAATGTGGTTTATGTCACATTTCTGGTTACGTCACAAGATGTCTTGCCTTCTTGTGCTCATGCTCACACTCATTACTCTTATATCTTCTTAGGAGGAGGATATAAGCACGTTGGACTTTATTGTTATTGCTAGCGATGGATTGTGGAATGTGTTGTCAAACAAGGTTAGTTTTGAAAATGAACATTTCTCTTAATGGGACTGTCTGTAAACGTTCTTCAAAAGACAAGAAACTTAGTACCTACTTTGTTTTTAGGATGCCGTGGCAATAGTACGGGACATTTCAGACGCGGAAACAGCATCAAGAAAGCTGGTTCAAGAAGCATATGCACGTGGTAGCTGCGACAATATCACTTGCATTGTTGTTCGATTCGAGGTTTCTTGATAAAGATCTTTATTAAAGAACCAATGTCATATACGGTTCTGCTGTGAATGTATTGTTGCATCTCCTTCCGTGTGTTGGTTATAATTATTAGACTACCCCCTAATTTTTCATACAAAACGATTTTATTTGCAAAGATGATAATACATTTTTCATATAATTATTTTCTCACCTGGTCTCATGATATACAGGTTTACTTCTAATTAGTCTTCAAGATATAATTAATAACACTAGTTATGTCTCTGCCTCTTTAGTCTCACCATCATTAATCTCTCCTTAGTCCTCCACTTTGGTATCTTCTTCCTCTTTCATCTTCTTGGCTTTTAGGAATTCGAGGAGATCTTTAAGCGCAATATCAGCGTTTTTATTCGCCATGAGCTGCTGAGTGACTTCGGCTGGAGTTACACTAACCTTAAGGACGAGCTTCTCAATGGGATCATACAGGACATGGTTATAAATCTTGAGGTACAAAGCCACAAGCTTCTTGAACACAAAGGGTGTGCAATAGTCCATGAGAATGTGAACGTCCATTCTTCCTGGCCTCAGCAAGGCCGGGTCGAGCTTCTCCTTGTGATTGGTTGTGAAGATTATGATTCTTTCTTCTCCGCAGCTCGACCAAAGCCCGTCTACAAAGTTCAACAGACCAGACAGAGATATCTGTCACCAGAAAGGAAGACTCGTTAAGGTTCAGAGAGACAGAGAGGTTAATAAAAAACAGAGGAATTTTTCAACTCACCCCATCTTCAAACTTCTTATTTTGTAGCTCAGCAGATTTTTCTTTGCGTTTACAAGAAGCATCAGATCCACAATCAATGTCTTCAATGAGAAGAATTGACCTGTTCTTGGTGGAAGTAAGAATCTTGCGCAACTCAGCATCGTCTCTAACGCTCTGAAGCTGGAGATCATAGATATGGTACTTCATGTGATTAGCAATTGCAGCCACCATAGAGGATTTTCCGGTACCTGGTGGACCGTAAAGAAGATATCCACGTTTCCAAGCGCGTCCCACACTCTTGAAGAAGTCTTTTCCTTTAGAGAAAGCGTCAAGATCGTCGATCACAGTGGTCTTGAGGTGCGGCTCAATGGCTAGGGTCTCGAAGGTCGTGTGGTGCTCGAAAATGGTGGGTTCCCAGTAGAAGTGTTGTCTGTTGTAATTGTAGATCTTGAGATTCTCGCATTGGCGCAGTAACTTCGCTGCTGATTTCGTAAGTATGTGAAGTAATCTTTCATTATCTTCTCACGAAACTCCCTTTTACATGTCAGATTAAAGTACCTGAAAACATGAAACATCCACGAAACCAACACCGTAAGAACACAAAAAAAAGTAAGGGTATACTGAATTTTTTGAATGAGTTTTTAGATTATTATGAATGAATTGATAAAACTATTATGATTTTATTTTATGAAAATTTATAAATCAAGAGATTTTGATGTTTGCAGTTTCTAACTAGAAATTCTCCACATTAATATCACTAAAAATTCCTTAAAATCTACTTATTAAAATACTTTCAATTGAGTTGCATTTTCAAATAACTAATCAAATTCTATATTGAAGTATGACTAAGGGCGCATTTCCATTGAGAGGTTTTCATATAAGTTTTTAATATTTAAAATTTTTTAAAAAATTGAAAAAAGAAGAGAAAGAGTGAAGAAAGGTTTTTATTTGATTTTTTTTTAAAATCTGTTGAGAACCCTATATCACATATGTCACTTATATATATTAGATTATGATCCACATATACGTGAATTTAGAAATTGTTTTAAAACTCCTAAACAATTAATTTGCAAAACTATTTAGAATAGAACTGAATAAAAAACTAGCATTTTCCTTCAACTCTTGTTTATTTTTATATTTCTCATAAATATGAGTTCTTTTTAATAAAATTTTATCGAGAATCTCATTTGATAAAATGATATCTCAACAAAATTGGCGTTCATCTTCAATCCACTTCCGCTATTCTAATTGTTTTTCATCATATCATGAGTTTTTCTTCTTATATGATTGATTATCAATGTAGTAAAATTATAAGAGACTTTATATGTTTATAGAGATGTAAATAATAATTTCTTTTTTTTTTGTTTAAAGTTTAGTATTCACTTTAAAAAAAAATTCTTTTCATAATTAACTTATATATTTCTATTTTTTCGTTTTTAATTTATTCTTTTTTTTTCTTAATATTATAATAGTTATATTTTCTTTTTTTTTTCTTAAATAACTGTTATATTTCGTAAAATTAAATTTTAATTTAGTTGTGACACATGTCAAAATCTAAACGATTAATCGTCATATGTCACATGACATATGTCGAAAACTACATAATTAATTACTACGTGTCATAATCATGTGAATTACTAACTTTGACAAATCCAACTTTATATAATAACATTGGTTTAAATTTCTTTTTAAATTTAAATTTAACTATAAAATCTAATTATATTAAAATATTAATTTTTTCTTTTGTGAAAACCCCAAATTGGTGCAGATGGTGTAAGATTTTTTTATTGTCAAGGAGAAGACAAAAATATTATACCGTTTCTCGTAGGGAAAATTCTTAATTTCAACAGAGTGTAGACTCCACTCGAGATGAATCCCTTCGAAATCTTCAGTGATTTTGCTGTTTACAGGGATCCCTAGTTTCGGCTGTTCCTCTGGATTCTTGAGATTACTCGAACCCACGACGAGTTTTCCCGTGCAGAGTCCGGCGAGACGCGTCTGTAAGTAAACTTCGGCCGCACGGAAAGTCTGGTTCTCAGCAGATTCCCACTGTTTCTCGATCACAAACGTGAAGTTCGACTGTAAGTAAGACGAGAAGAAGAAGTCTACAACTTTCACAGTGATGTAATCTCGGATTCGCTGAGGCACAATCTCGTTGACGATTGTACGGTAAAGCATCATTACTGCAGAAAAATATGTGTAGAGAGAGAAAACTGCGGATACATAAGGGACTTGATTATAGAGAGACTCCATTTTTCTGTAGGGAAGATGATGACGAGCTTTGGTAAAGCGAGAGAGAGAGAGGATGAGTATGTGCTTATAAATAGTTTGAAACAGTGGTCAACAAGAACGTTTGTATTTCTATCATTTAATTAAAAACTAAAACATGGTAAAATTTAGAGAGTAATGAAGATTATAATAATAAAACTGAAATGTTCATTTTTACCAAAAATAAAAAATAAAAAATAAATAAACTTGAAAAGATGACAGGCAAGAAGATTTTTTTAAGAAGTTGGAAATTATTTCAATAATTTTGACATTTGCTTTTCTAAAATAATGTATTTAATTTTTTAGAAAATTTAAGATTTATTAACTTACCACCTATATATTCTAATTTGGTTGTTATGTTAAAATATTCTTTTTATTTTAATATCCTATTTTTTAAATTATTCTAATAAATTAAAAGGAAAGTATGTACAATTTTAGAAAACGATGATAAATGTAAAAACAAAAATCAAATTTAATTTAATTTTAAAACGCCATAAAAATATATATATATATATATATTTATTTATATTTATTTAACATATCATATTTTATGTAAAATTTGTTGATGTATCAGTATCATATTCTTATAAATTATTTTAAAATTTTAATAATTTAACTCATTAAACTAAACTCTATTTCAAGCATTCCATCATTAATACGAAGTAATTTTAATTTAATTTTTATATATATTCTCAAACAATTTTTATTTAACAATTATAGTAATATAATATAATTATTCTATATTTCAAATATAATATATTAAAATAGGTAATAACTTGTGTTAGATGATAAATTTATAAACAATTTTATTAAATATAATTTTGAAATCGTTTAAAATAAAAGGAATTTATATGCTGCTAAGATGTATATATTGGAGTCGATTTCTTAAATGTCAATTAAAAGATATTATGTCAGTAGAAGAACCCACCATTCAACATGGGTCCTATGGAATCTGCCCCAATGGTCATTCCACGTCATGATAGAAATCCGGAGTTAGGGTGGTTGACTAACCCCCTAAGATATAAGCCTATTCAGCTGACTATGTAGAGCTAATAGAAAGCCATCGCGCAACATTATAAATAAGACCTCAAGGTTCGCAAAGAAGAGAATTGAACGGATGGTTGAGGCTAGAGAGATTAACTTCACCAAAATCAAAGGAGGAGCAGTTGGAGAACCTCCAGGGGATCTTTCTGCGACTAAGTCCCCTCTGTCGAGACGTTTAAGAGCTCTTATCGGACATCTATGACCGAATACAGCACTCCCTATATGTGGTCTCAGTGATTAGCATGGAGGATGTGCATATGAAGGTGCATTTACCCTTTTCTCTTTCTTATCCATTAAGAGAGAATTCAAATTCCACTCTTATGTCAGTTTATGTTTTCCCAGTCACCACCAAACATAAGATGAATATCATGATTTTAAAATGTGGTATTCCACCCGTAGCCTATCTAAAACTTATCTTTTTGAGTATATGTTTCTAGTTGGTCGTTTCTGACTTGAGTATCGGAGAACTTTCGGGAGGAAAAATTCATTTACTCTTGGAAGCCGGCCCATCATTTGCTAAGTGATCTCTGGTCCCCGGACGGCATACACATCAGGTTACTCGGACGCTACTCATCCCAAGTAGGCAAACACGTGAGATAAAGTCCACTCAAGATGACGAACACACATCTCCCATAAGTATCTTACAAAATGTTCGCAAACAATTAGTGCTAAAAGGAGGGGGGAAAGACTAGCGTCTGATGTAACAAAAAATCAATAGATGTAGAAGACGAAAAACAGAAAGACTTTAGAAGCGGTACAGGCCGCCCAAAGAAAGACCTAGAACTCAACAACGATGTTCGAGAGCAGGCAACAGTCGCAATGTGAGTAACCGCGGTAGATGACCCTGGTGTTCCCCGGAGGAACTTTCTAGAGCACGCCCGTTAGCATCATGGAAAATAGGAGGAAACATCTGGACCCACGGAAACTTCGGCGTTCAAATCACTCAGAGGTTGAGTCTCGGGAACTAACCCGCAAACCGTCTATTGATACAGGTATTTTACCACTTGTGACTCAATTCCTTAAGTTATAAGATCATGTCATTGAAGTACTTAAGGTACCAATCCATTCAAGAAACTTGAAGCAATGAGAATTCATGATTGCTCTATAAGCTGAGCTAATCAATAAGAGGGTTTATAAAGAGCTAACAACCTAGGTGGATCAAAAAACAAGTAAAATAAAATTAAACTAAGATGCATGACAGTTAAATAAACAATTCAAACTTAAAAAAAACAGAGGAAACAAAGCAAACAAAACAAAGTTAATGCAGGAAAACTTCGAATTTCAACAAGCAGGAGTTTTAGGGTGGGATTATTGATCCAATAATGAAACATCAGTCAATCCATGATGCACAAACTCAACCAATATGGCTAATCCTTCATCATAGAAACTCTAAACAAGCATATCAATTCATTCTTATGACAAAGATCCCTTTGCTAACAACCTAATCAAAAGCTAACTCTCATTAGTGATCAACCAACCAACAAACACAAAGAATCCGTTCTATCAAGCTAAATACTCGCTAATCAACCATTCTCATATGCTAGTGATATATCATGGTTTTTATGATTTTTAACCATGGTATAAGTCCTTTTTATTGAGTCTTTTTGGTCTTTTTAGAGTCATAGTAGAGTCTTTGCAGGTTATGGCATGTATGAACCATAATTGGAGATATTGAAGCTTTTTTTTTGGAGCATTGCAAGATGAATCCATGAAGTGTGCAACTCAGAAGGCGAATGATGGCTTGGGGGACGCTCGTCACCACTCAAGGGTGACGCTCGTCACCCGTAGAGGAAGGAGTCGTGGCTTTGTTTTTAAAAGATGGAGAATTATTTGCAGAATTGGCCCAGAAGTTCTAGTATTTGCAAGAATACCCCAGATCGTGTTTTACCTTGTATATATTAGGTTTTCAGCCACTGTTGGCTTTTATCTTAGATTTTGAGAATTCAGAGAGCTTTAGAGAAGATTTTATTCAGAGCTTTTGGGGAGACAGATCTTGTACTCTTTTTGGAGAAGATTTCGAACCCCTTTGTCTTTTATTCCATTCTTTCAATGCAATTTTATTCAGCTATGCTTTGTGATTCCATGATCATATCTGAGTAATGTGCTAGTTAAGTTAGGGCTTTTCAAAGATTGATGAAGAGTTTGTAGAATTGCTATCTGTTAGGAATATCTTTTGGTTCTTCATCTCTGCTTGCTTTGAAACCGATTTCTTAGACACATCATCTAGAAATCCAAAAATCATAGGTTGTTTAATAGACGTGAGAGCATTATTGATAACTTAACCTAGCATTAGATGAGCAAAACGATTTAGTGCAAAGAGATTTGGCTTAGGAGTTTTGTGAACAATTGAAATTGATCATTATTGCATGTTTAGGTTGTTAGAGTTTGCAAAGAGATTTGAAACTCTGTTATTTAGACATAGTTAACTTCTGCAATGAGAATTGATTAGTTATATATTCGTGATTCATGTTCAAGATGGTTCTTATTCATTCATGATTTCATGCATTCTACATTCTCGAATTCAACCTGCGAAGCGCTTTTAGTTTTCTGAGTCTTAGATCATAATAAATTTTGCCTGCTTTCTTTTATTTTATTATTACACATTACATACGCTATTTATTGCTTAGCTTAATCTGAATCTATAATCAATAGTGTAGTTTACATATTTCTTTGGGATTCGATACCCCATATACTACATCTGCTTTGCTGTGCACTTGCAGTAGTTTTATTTGGGTAAAACCTGAGCCTTATCAAGTTTTTGGCGCCATTGCCGGAGAGTTATAGCTACCTATCGTTTTTTAGTATTAGGATTTTGTCTAATTTTTGATTTGTTTACTAACTTCTGCTACTTTTCTTTGTGCTGGTTTCAGGTGTATGTCTAATCGTTGTACCAGAAGCAACAAAGAGAAGGAGCTTTTGACCTTAGGCATTGACGAGCTAGCTAAGTTGGAGAGGACCATCAGGAAAGCTAAGAAGCAATCTACAATGGTTAATCCACTGATCTTGGTTGAAGATGTAGAAGGTCATTTGGTTGATAGAGAGGGAAACAAGAGGAATGAAGAAGGGTAGAGACTGGATCAAGATGGGAATGTCATAGTTGAACAGGTGGTTCAACAAGTGGCATAAGACGCTGGAGTTCCTGCTGCTGCTAACAATGCTGCTGCGCCTTTTGTTCAGAGGACTCTAGGAGATTACAACAGACCTGATCAGTTCTATGCCAACAGAGCTGCAATCCACCCTCCTGCTTTCCAGAGGAATGATTTTGATCTCAAGCCTGCTTATTATCAGCTGGTGGGACAGCATCCTTTCCATGGCTTACCTCATGAGCATCCAATGGATCATATTGAGAGGTTTGAGGATTTGGCTTCAAGTGTCAAATCTAATGGAGTTAGCTATGACTTTCTGTTCCGCAAGCTTTTCCCTTACTCACTTGGAGGACATGCTGCATATTGGCTGAAGCAACTAGAGCCTGGTTCACTGACCACTTGGGAGGACACCAAGAATGATTTTCTGAACAATTTCTATGATGTTGCTAGATCAGAGGACCTGAGGACGAAAATTGCATCATTCTCACAAGGTCCTACTGAAGCTTTTAAAGCTTCTTGGCTGAGATTCAAGTCTTATCAAAGGGACTGTCCTCATCATGGTTTTAGTCAGGTGCAGCTGCTTGGGATTTTCTTCAGAGGTATTGACTGGAAGTATCAGATGGCGCTGGATGCTGCTAGCAGTGGGAACTTCAACACCAACCTTCCAGAAGCTGCAATTACTCTGATTGAGAACTTACTGCAGCAACAACACCAAGAATGCAGATTTTCAGAGGATGAAACAAGCTGGTTTGAATGATGGGAATCAGATTGCTGAAGTTAAGGCTACGCTAGACAGTATGCACAGCCTCTTGGTGGGAAAGAAGTCAGTCCATTTTGCTGCAGAGGTAGAGACTTTCGAAAATCCAAAGGAGATTGAGCAAGAAGATGTGAATTTCATCAATGCTAGAGGATTTCATG